GCAAATTGTTATGGCTTCATTTTTACTTGGGTAAACCAAGTAAACTGGGACCATCTGGTAGACTGCAGTTCTGCTCAGTCTTTCTCTACATATGGAAGTGCCAAAAGATATATTTTTTTACAGCATTAGTCTGTGTAACCATGCTTATGTTTACTCTGATAACAAGAAGTTAATAAATCTTTTACACTTCCCTGTGACTTATTTTTTCTTGAAAAAGCAAACTTTTTAATGACGTTTACAACTGCAAGTAAGGCAAGCATTCTGAGATCTTTTCAACTTATACAAAAATGCACAGACTAAAAAAAGACAAAAAAAAATTGAATAGAAATACAAGGAACACACTGTGGAAAATTCCCTAAGACTTAGCAAATTACACATTCCAATGCAAAAAATAACAATTTACAATTACAGTTTATTCCAATTTTATTCCAGGTAGTCTATATTTACTAATTGTCCAAAGAAATCTTGCTTCTCTCCTTTTGGCTGCTATCATTGACACTGCAGAATTTTTATTTATTTATTTATTTATTTGCACAAAATTTAATAATTTTCTTATATATTCTTGAAAGGTATACATATACATGAAACTGTACTGAACCTGTACCTGCATCCTGCTTAGAGAAATGCGTAGCGTTCAGAGTTGACCTATTTCTAATGCTGTTGAATTACACAAAACAATCTTAGTCAGCTAGGAGCAAGGTTATATGGGCTTTGATGAGTTTTATCAGTGAAATCCACATTAAAATCAATGGGTTTTTTTGTTTTGCTTTGTACAGCTTTTGATAACTATAATATTTGTGTACTTTTAATTTTTTTTCCTGAGATAATTACTTTTTAATATGGAATAATATTTTGTTAAATCAGAGGATCTTTTACGGTACAGGCATGTGCTACGATCTGAGAAAGACTTCTGAACACCCAGTGCAGAGTCCTTATATCTAGAAATAGAGCTAGTTCAATTAATTTAGAAATACAGCCCTGTAGAGATCTTTAGGAGCATCAGGTAAAAGGAAGAGAAGTGAGGTGGTAGTGGTGGATGTGTGGGAGGACAACGAGGATGGGAGTTGGACAGGTGCTCATGCAGATTGTGTTAGGATGTTTTCTGTACTACGAAAAATAGATGTGCCCTTGCCATAAGGATTAACCTGTATGTATATGTGTGTGTCTGTTCATGTGGGATGCAGAGAAACCAGCGTAATGTAAAGTTGAATAAATCTATCTACAGAGTAAGCTGCTGCGAACGTTTTAAAAAGCAGCTCACTGAAGGATGTTTTCTGGATTTCAACAAGTGAGCAAGTGTCCCTTCATAGATGTACGTAGTGCATTGAGGGGAATTAGAATAGCCCAACAAACAGTATTGATTCTAATGCAAAAATTCCACATCAACCTGTAGCTTGTCTCCATGAGCATCCTTGTCCTCATTGCCATTCAGTTTAATCCTCTAGTTTTCTCAGGGATGTGCTTTCTGGAAATGTCTTTTGGTTCTTTAAATTATTAATGTCATTAAAATTTATAATTTTCTGTCATTACCTCTAGGAAAATAGAGATTGTAATGTGAAACATAATTGTCTCATTTTGCAATTTGTGTTATGATAGTTGAGCACAACTAGAGCAGATTTAAATATTCCCCTGAGCAATGTGGCTAGGTATTACAAACTAACTGAAGTTTTTTGTGTGCAGATAAATAAATAGATAAATGAATACGCCAAATGACCAATATTTGTGTGCAAATAAATAGGTAAATGAACGCCACGAATTCTTGAAGAGTAAACTTTGCCATTAACCTGCCACATGAGCAGAAAAGACAGTGTTTAAAGGAATACCCTTTCAGTGTTGAGTTGGGTGAACTACTGCGAGCCTGGGTGAATAGTCAGTCTTACACTTATGTCTGCCTACCAAAATATTTAAGTGCTCCCTGAAATATTTGGATAGCCAAATTCTTTCCCTTAGTAAAGGAAAAATCCAGAATAAAAGCACTTAGATAAGACAGCATCTTTTATCCCTTTACAGAACACTGTAAAGTGTTCTCCCTCCATCCCCATTCAAGAAATTCAATATTTACAGGCCTAAGTGCAAACTGCTATTAAAGGTGCCAAGCAATAGAGGGTTAGGCTCTTTTACGTTCCTTAAACCATATCCCTGAAACAAGCAGAAGCCACCACCTGTATTAAGTAAAGATATTACATTACCCCATGTTTTAGTAGCAACATCATGGGATCATGAAAGCCAAAAAGTTGGCATGTGATAACGGAATTTTGCAAGGAGCACTTGCTTGGCCAACCAGCTGATAAGCTCCACTCAGAATACAGCATTCACGCATGGGAGGAATGGTAATTATTGTGCGCTGTCTTGTCCTCTGTGATGACCCAAGAACAAGGTTGGAAGTTTGGGATACGTTTGTTTGGGGGGGTGGGGGGGAAAACCCTCTAGGACCAAATTAAATTATTTGCTTAGTTTTCAGTTTCACAGTGTAACAAAAATTTTTATATCATTTACAGGAAAGAAAACATGTTACTTTTAAACAAATAATTAGGTGAATAGACTTTAATTATAAGATCAGTATGAAATGTTTTTTCCCCTGCGTCTTCGACACTTAGAACTATTTTTTGGGTATATGCTGACTGGGTGTAAAAGTCAACTTCTTACATACTTGGGTTTCCTTTTTTGGCTTTTTATTTTTCACCCTGCATTTACCACGGTTGGAACGCAGGTGACCTGTCTGTGTGTGGCATTTAAGATTTCAGGTGCTGCTAAGCCAGGACCTTGAGCTTTCTGGAAAGGAGTATGTGGGGTTCCCCTTGGAGTTATGTACTGAACTAAGGCACTGGAGGATTTAGCTACTGTCAGCTGTCCGCACAGAGAAAGGTGACACTTTCAGTGTCAGATTTAGCCCAATTTAGTTTCTGAATTTCCCTCCAGAGGCTCCCGTTATTCTTCTTTGGCTGTACAGTAACTAGGCTTTTGCGTTCAGGACTCACTTGGTGCCTATAGCTAAGGGGGAAGAATCCAGGTTAATGCATCTAAGATAACTGATCTCCCTACCATATTTCTGGAAATCCCATGGAGGAAGCAGTTCTGGTCTGCTCCATATAGGCTTACATGCCTCAGGTCAAGCATTTTGACACAGGTTATGAGACATCTTTGAAAGGCTGCGCATCACTTGAGGAGGACCCAAAATGTGTGTGGTGTGAGGTGAACTGAAGGTTTGGATGAGTCGTGATCTTTTTTTTCTGTTTCCAGCCACTCTTGAGTTTGCCTGCCAAGGATGCAGCCTGGGAGGTTATGAGTTAAAGCTGTCCCATAAAATTACCTCTTCCCGAGACTGCAGCTTAGACATGCTGTGTGGCTTTAACACAGCCACACAGGAGAGAAATCCAAGGCAGCAGTCTGGAGGGAGAGAGCAGGGCTCGTGGGTCTCCTTCAGAGTCTCCCTGCAAGGCTAGAGGTGCTGCCCAGCATTTTCTATTAAGCCTCAAAATCTTTGGCTTCTATAAGAATATATTTATTTTCTGATTTTCTCTTTTCACACCACACCAGTTGGTCTGTCGTTAATGCAATGAATTTCACCTTCTGCAAAGTTAAAAATTCATGTTCCTAAAAAATGATGGGAAATCGGCAAAGAACTAAATTGAGCCAAAGCTACATTACTAGTCAACCGTAACAAGTAATTATAATAACCCCATGGTCATTTCACTCACAGCTTGACAGAGAAAATGGCAATAAAACAAAATATTTTTTTTTCTTGAATGTTAAAAAGTACGGTGCTAAGTTCACTTCTGCCGATGGCACATCACAAGGTGTGGGCCCTGTTGACCGAATAAGTACAACAACATGAATTACTGGTGGCACCCTCCCCTGCAAGGGGCTATGAGCAGCCCTGTGCAGCCGGGCAATGGGTTGGCCCAGCTGAGTGGCTGGTGCAGCCAACGGGTGCTGGTGGTGGGCTGATGTGGCTTGCAGATGCTGCTGGTGGCAGTGGTCGGGAGCTGGGATGGAAAGCTGCTCCCTGCGGAGGAGGCACCGGGGGGAATGAATGCAGTCGGCGGTGCTGCTGCCTGTCCTTCCTCATGGTGAACTCCTGGCAGGAAATAACCATCGCAAACTGCACCACTGTTAGGATTTCAGGATCAGCTAAGCCCGTGATTTTCAAACTATTTATCCTGGGATATAAAAAAGAGGTTTAGGGTTTGTGGCTTTTTTTTTTAAATGCAAAGTACATAAAGCCTGTAGTTGAGTTGGCTTCAGTCGCAATATAAGGGCAGTACGTGCGTGCTCTGACCCTGGATGGATTAGAGGGCTGGGGCATGGAAAGGTCTGCAAAGAAGCTTTAGACAGTGCGAAGCCTGGAAAGAAGAGCAGCCTGTCCTTGAAATTTCCTTATATCTTACCCCAAATTATTCTGTGTGCAGAAACCTGTGTTCCTAAATGTGTCAGTCCCTTCCATGAAGTTTCTCCTATTTTTTATTTCCTGATACAGCTAACCTCAAAAGACTTCCTTGAGCCATTATCAGGATTAGATCTGCTGTTCTCATGGGAAAAGCACTTTCTTGTAACGTTGTTCTCAGGTGTAAGGACCATATTTCCTAAAGATGGTTACGTTTTCCATTCGTTGTTTTGTTCTGAGGATGTAGTGAGGTTCTATTCTGTTAAACCAAAACTCTTTCTATATAAAGCTGGTTGAAGGCTCTTCTTTTTTACTTAAAACCTATTGAGACTATCTTGGTGCTTTTCTATGAGTACTACCTCTGCAGTATGTTAGTATTGCCAAGATAGATGGTACTGTGCTAAACTGTTTGGTTTTTTTTTAAAATCGTACGTAAAAACCCCACCATTGTTGTTATTAAACACAAAATAACAACATTTGGCCCAGACTAAGCGTGTGCCTCTGTAACTTTTTTTTCTTCTATTTTCTTTTTAAAAACACTTATCCAATAATGAAAGGAATATATAAAATGTCTGGACAAATATATGTTTTTAAAAGACTGTGTCTCCATTCACAGGAAATCACTGATAATGAAATATTAGAATTGGTACATAGTGCTCTGGGGAGGATGACAGTTATCCGGCAAATTTTCCCTCTCTCAAGGGACAACAATCAGAGATGCATGAGGAACAATCACCGGATATCATCCCTGCTGTGCGATCCACAAGAAGGCTATCTTCAGATGCTGCAGGTCAGTAGCTGTGCCCAGCAGAAAAGTCCATCTCAGGAATGTGATGAGATAGTTTTTGGTGACTGTATTACCTCAGAGGAAGAATAAAATGAGTATAGATAAATCTGAGCATGTAAACGTTGGTCACCTTTGACTGACTTAATAATTTATTTTATTTCCCAGGACTGAGTGCTTTAGATGTGAAGTTATGTCCATGAAGTACCAGAAAGTAGTTGCACTAACTCAGAGCTGATTTTGCGTATTTCATTCTCTTAAGAATCTTTTTCTATTTGAAAAAAAAAGTTGTGCTATCATAGACTTGTGGTCTTACTGCTTGCTTATTATTTTTATGCCTATTAAACGTCTGTTGTGAAAGAGTTAATCTGGGAGGTTAACAGAACTCTGAAAGGTATTGGGCTGTGGAACATTTCATATTTAGTTAAATGGACTGAATCCAGCTGATGCATTCAATCTGTCCCATTTCAATAGTCTCAGAAGTCTCTAGCAGCTGATAATTGTCTGAGCATGTGAAATATGCACTGCTAGTTCAAGTTCCAGATTTTGGTAACAGATATGACTCTGGTGTAAGCAACATTGCAGGATTTCTTGGCAATTTATCCTAGATATCAAAATTTTTCTTGCAGTAGTTTAAATATAATTTTAGGTGCTATTTCCAAAGATAGTGCAATAATTTAGAAACACGGTTCTTGGACTTTCAATGGGACTCTATCTGTTTCTGGTTTACTTTAGACACAGCTAAGAATCTCATTTGTATCACTGTTGAAGCTGTTGGATAAAACTGAAAACTTTAACGAGACTGAGTATATAAGCTTGATCAGAGCCTTGTTACTGCAAATTTAGTCTTAACCTGAGATGGATTGAGTAAGGACATTGTGGTTGAGCCTCTGAGTTGGCAAATGTGGGTATTGTGTGTAGAGTGAGTCTAGATCGGGCTTGGTTAGGCTGTGGGGAGGGGGCTGTTGGCAGTCAGGGCTGCTGCAGCCTGGCCAGGAAGGCAGTGTGGGGTGAGGGGTCCTTCCAGAGGGAACTCATGTGCTGGCTTGGAAGAGCTTCTGAAGAGCAAAGGTGTGAGGCTTCTGGGAAATGAGGAGAGGTAGGGACATTCTCAGGAAGAGAAGTGGCAGGTCAGGATTTTTGCAAGGAACGTGGATGGGCATGTTTGTTTTACTTATTTGTGCCCTACTGAAAAGTTGTAGCTGCAGAGACTGAAATCCTCTGATGGAGGGATGGGGCCATTTCCCCCTTGAAAAGAACCTCTGTAGACTCAGGTTCTGTCATAGCAATGGCAAAGTTTGGGCAATGCCAATCACATGCACGGTAGTTCTGAGCACTGGTCTGTTCTTTCTGTACTGGGGAACGTCTATGCCTATCTTGGCTTAGAAAGAAAAGCCAATGTTGATCGTTTTTAGTGACTGAGGTATGCTGTAATGAGAACCAGGGCCACTCATTTCGGAGGATCAAAGCAATTTCCAGTGTGTTGAAAAAATTGTCTATCCTGCACCAAGAAATCACTCATTGGGGAACAATCTCACATTACAGCAGGATTTTGAGTATCACTGTCTATGCTGATTTATGCATAATCTAATTCAGAGTCTCATCTGAAGGGCTCTGACAGAACTCTCTGAGCAAGTTCTTGTTTGCTAAAACAGTAACTGGTTTGCTAGCACAAACAGCCTCATGCCCTATTACTGAATTTCACTGACAAGGACACTTTGGGAAGGACCCTCTTCCTGCTCATTCTCAAACGTGGGTTTTGAGAAGCAAAACATTCTCAGTTTCTTCCAGAAACATTATATCATCTTAGAAACTGTCTTTAAGAGAATGGAACAGTAATGTTATGCTTTGCCCATCAGTTCCTTCTCTATGAACTTAGAAACAAGAAAGAGATATAAAGAAGTGTGGAGGTATACAGTTTGCATTTTGGAAGTTGATTCCATAACTCCATGTCCAACCACACTGGAATGAAATACCATGAAAGGTGAAGGGCACATGTGAGATCTCTCAAAGTAGCGGCCCACAGTATATCTTAAGTTTGTACAGATTGATGCTAGGATGCTTTCAGCATGTGCAGTTATATCTGAAGCCTTCTGTAGCTGCGTTTTTGTCATAGGCTTTGCCAAAGCATTTACGTAACACCTTGTGGGCATAAAGCTCATATTAATTTCGAAGTATGACTGACATGTTATTAATGGTCCTGCAATTCAGGTACGTCCAATCTTCTGTTTCTTTTTTCTTGTTTAAAAAATAGTTTTGACCTTTTGCTGTGCAGAAGTACATCACTAAATTACCCCTGTTGCCAGGGGCAGCAGTAGCTCCCAGCTCCATGTCAGGCTGCATGAATCCACCAGAGGCAATGACCGCCTGCCGGCACCGAGTCCTTGCGTTTCTTTGAAGTAGTTTGATTAACACCACAGTTTGGAAATCCCTGGCTTGTTCTCCCTTGGGCAATCTCATATTAATAATTCTTTGTTGTCAAGGTAACTTACCAGCTATTGTTGGTTAATTATTTATTTAATGACTTTGAAGAAGAATAAGCTAATCTCTGTCAGCCTCTAGCTGTAAGATTTTTCCAGGGGAGAATTTAGCGTTTTTAACAAGCTAGTAAAGAAAGAAACATTTACGTCATGGGTTATTAACTTTGTTCTGGCTAAATTAATGAAAATCTTTTTGGAACGATTTTGTTCTCTCAGTGTCTTTAGTACCATATCCTGGAAAGTTGTTTTTCAGTGGGTGATCATCCCAGTTTGGCATTCTGACAAGGCTTTTAAAGATCAGGCTGTTCTGCAAGCTCATCCAAAACCTCATCTGTTCTGAATGCTTTGTGGAAATCCAATCTTATTCCATCAACCCACTTGTCAAAATTTTGCTCATGCCCTTATTTCTTGCACGTATAATATACTCAGCTGGGTTTCTGCTTCAATTGGAGAAAAAGCTTTATGAAGTTTCCTGTCTTGGTCATTTTGTTTGGCTTCAGAGGACCACGTTTATCCCTTTCTTACTCTTCGTATATGATTTTCTCGGTCCATGTCTCTTATTTTTTTGTAAATGTAAAAGGGACTGTTTAGAACTTGCTGTCTTCCATTGGCAATGAGTATCCTGTGGTTTGGGCCATCAGCACAGTCAGTATTGCCTCATTTGGAGAGAGAATACTGAAGCACTTCAGGATTTATAGTTAAATCTAGTTAGACCTAGATAGACCTACTAGATAGATCTAGATAGACCTATTATCTATCCCTGCATGGCATTTGGATGGTGTTTAGTGGGATTACTGCTATTAAACTGTTTAGATTACTTCAGACATAGGTTTACAGAGTCAGTTTGAAGAAATTTTAATGCACAACCCGCTTCTTTCCAAAATCTTCCCCTTTAAATGTGAGTTTTGAAGCCTGTCTAGGAACTTCATTTTTGATGAAGATCTTTTTTCTTTTGTCAGGTTATTCATGATGTATTCATAAACTCAAAATATTTTTTTTCTGTTTATCTTTTTGAAGAAAGATTTCTCTTCAGAAATGTAATTCCCATTGCAGTTTGTTTCTTCCCATATTTACCATTTATGCAGTTAATAATTTCAATCTATGTGAGATTCTATTTATATTAACACATATTACAGGGACACAGTGTATCTGAAATAATTTAGCATGGTCCAAGACATGTAGTAAGACTAAAAAGGCAAAAAGAAAACCCCAGCAAACTGTGTCACAAAATTAATGAGGTTATTCCTCACAGGAGTTGAGAGTCCAACCTCTCTACTGAAGAACTATTCCAGGCATTAATTTGACATATTTGAAGAGAAGATGATGAGAAGTTTGGGAGGGTATTCATTGAAACAGCTACTCTTCTCCCCGTGAAGAATTTCATTCCTCAAAGACGTGACCATCAGATACCTTTGTAGGCATCTCTTAGCAGTTGCTCCTACAGAGCTGAGGTTTTATACATGAACTGTCTTCTCCTCGGGAATGATTGCAATTTAACTACTGTAAGTGGAGTTATTTTTTGGAGATATGTTTGGCTGTCTAAATTTAAGGGCCTGATCCTGCAGTTTTGTCCAACCAAATAGCCATGCTCTCATTTGACCTATTTACGCTGCTGTTATTACACAGCTGTTAAGTGCTGCTGGGGGCAGTAAATGTTGATTAAGCCCTATTAAAGCAGTCACTTTCTCCCATATAGGATTGATGACCCACATTTTTCTTTTCCTCTCATTACAGTACTATATTTGCACGTCTCTTTAGCAAAGTTTAATTTGGACTTTTGGCCAGATGTTTAGTCATGGTGAAACTGTTTCTGAGTATCACATGAATGAAAAGTATCTTTGAACTGACTTTATTGTCCATTGCACAGCGTAATCTCTCCCTGAAGCCCAATGGTGTGTGTTTTATACAAGGTGTGTTAGCAGAAGAATTGGTTAAAAAACCCCAAATCACCGCGGGTGTCCTTTGGCCATGTGGGATTTTATGAGCATACTGGAGGCTAGAACCCCAAGTATGTTCTGGAGTGAGCTTTCCCTCACTGCTCAGGCTCCCTCTTTTGACTGCTGGAGTTCTCTGTTTGCATAATTATTTCATTGAGCTGTTGTTCAGCGCTCTGTCCAGGAACAGACACCAATGCCTGGAAGAAAGGGCCAGTACCTCCATTTTTAATTTTTTACTGCCTCTGAAACCTAATTTGCACCCATATTTATTTATAAATGAGGTAGGGTAAAATGATAATCTTATACTCTGTTTTGCTATTCCAATATTACCTCTTGTCCTCCTGTCTGACTCGTAGTTGTGTTCAGTTTTCTTTATCAAATGTCTCCTGCTAGACTTTCCCTGGAGAGTTAGTGTTAGCTGTGCCAGATTCTTGAGAGGTTTAGTGAGTGAAGCCAATGCCTGCAGCTAACAAGCTTGAGCGTTACAGGGTAATCCAGACCTTGCATTATTGTTAACATGTTATAAAACATACTGAGTAAGAAAGCATTCATGATAAATACTCATAATAATAAATAGCTGAAGGACAGT